ATTAGAATCAGGAGAATTAAATCAGAGCACAAATGTCACACAGTAATGCTTTCTGTTATTGCGCCTCCGTGGTTGTATTTGCATCATTTTCTAATTTGGTATAGGCTAAATGTTAATTTTTTTTTATTGTGTTTTGAATGTTAAAACCTTAGAATGCAACATGTCTGTGAAGCCAATCCAGTGTGGGCGGGGTAGGGTGGGAGTGGATTTTGTTGTGTTTATTTTGTATTTTATTTACTTATTCTTTGTATGTGTGCTTTGAATGTTAAACTATGAAAAAGACTTTGATCAAAAAAGTGTTTCCCATGATTAAAAGCACTGAGCCGCCAAAGCTCCAATACTAAGAGACAGAATATTGTTTGGGTGTGTTCCAATATGTAGGATGAAGTGAGATATAACTGTGTTAAATAAAGACTTCTGAATACTTCCCACTTCACCGTGCTCTTTAAGTATATAGGTAAAACTATGGCAGTCATGTAAAAAGCATAAAGTACTTAATATAGAAGCAGAAAGCTTCCTTCATAATGACCTGCTGTACTGTAGTATCACAAAGAAAAGGTGACTCACTGCATTACTCTTTATGCAGATTAAATTCTTAAATAAACACATCACCTTTCAGCAAAACATGTGGTGAATACGGCTTCACCAGGTCTGATAATACAAATAGGACTTTTTGCTGGGTGAAAATGTGTCATATTGCACTGTTGTAAAGATACATCGACATTCCCCAATGATGAACAGCAGAGCAGCTAGACTGAGTCCACATCATTTACACTCTGACACCCACGGCACGGCACCAAGTGAAAAATGCAATTTGGACACCGTTTCAAACAGTGGATCAATCAGTAGCAACAGCAAAGTACATCCATCTCAGACATATACGCCAACAGCTGCACATGTGATCTAAATGCAAGCAAATCTTCCACAAAACATCGTGACAGGAATACTGAGCAGTTCATAAAAATGATTAATGGTGGCACAATGTTGTTTGGAAGAAGGTTTGATGTTACTCCAAACAGTATTTAAGCCATCAGGTATTATATATTTATTGAGGATTTCGAAGTAAAACATGACATTTTCTATAGCTATAAAAAATTGTTGTTGCAGTTCCCTTGTCACAGAAATTGAAAAATACCCCTTTGGTTGTTTGCACCATTAAATGATGCTACTTGCTAACTGCAATTCAATCAAATGTTCAGTTCTTGCTGTATTGCTGTATGGATATTGTGACTTGAATTTGAGGCTGGGTCTATAGAACCAAACATAGGCGTAATTTGCAGGGGGGTTAGGGGGGTTATGACCCAAACAATAATTTCATCCAGTCAAAATAACCCCCCCCCCCAATAAAATGACATTGTTTGCTCAAACACAATAGAAATTAACTGGTTAAGTAGACAGATGCAACTCTTTTGTTGTCTTTATATAACTTTGACCTGATTTAAAAAAATTACAGTGTCATACATCTACGTTTTAAGCATAATTGCTAAAAATGACATGCAGGGTTTTAGAGCATAACCCCCCCCCCACCCCCACCCCCCAAAGGTAGACCTAAAGTTACACCCTTGGTACCAAGTGCACAGTGGGCCATCTAAAAAACATCCTACATGGGGAAAATCTGGTGTGCTCCTCACTCACATTCAGATGTCAGATGTGAAATCACACAAGACTTATTGAGACCTCGCGAGAATTCGGATGTCAGAGGAAAAATCTTGTGTTACCTCCAGAGAGACGTGAGTTCAGAGTAAATAAACATTTGCAATGAGGAAGAAACAGTATTGATCATTTGTGGATTATTTTTAACCTGAAGAAAAACAATTCCATAGGATTTTTAACGTCCAGAGGACTTTCTGGTGTGTCATGACAGTTTTTTTTTGTATCTTCTATGTCCGTATTTCAGAATCCCCTCCGTGTTTACAATATTTTGCCTTTTAATTGGCTACACGTTACATTCAGCAGGTTGCAACTCATTTGTTCTCCAGGAACACTACACCCGCTGTGATATCGGGTCAAAAAATCTAACATGTTGAATATCCCCGATTTGAGATCGGTGCAGTCCCGACGTCCTTCCGAGCCGACTAGATCACTCTTAACTCACCACCCACGGCAGGAATATTTGCTCAGATTATCTTTAGAACCATCAAAATAATCTGGACTTCCTTCGAAGATAGATAGATGATGGATGGATGGATGGATGGATGGATGGATGGATGGATGGATGGATGGATGGATGGATGGATGGATGGATGGAT